ATCCCACTATAAAATTTAATTACGGAATATTTTAGTGTTCTTCCTGTGTAAAAACCGAGAGAAAATAATTATTTAAAATCGATGCACATTTCATTCTCTTTGTCGGTAAGATGCCCATAGTTATTTAAGGGGACCTATCTTATCTTGGACTTTGTTCTTATAGGACCTGGAAACAACTTTTTGGGTTAGTTTTAGAATCTAGAACTTTAATTTCATAGTCCCTTTCAGCTTTTCTTATCCCCTTTTTAATGTCCCTCTTAATGTCAATATACTGATTCATAAGATGACCCTCGCCTCTTTTGATACGCCTATAAATTCCTTTCTTATGCCCTAGTAGATATTTCAGCCTATTATTCATCCATTTTGGGTCATTTCTATTTGATCTAATTTCCTTATAAGGGATAAACGTTCTTTGAGCAGCATGTATTGTGAACATTAAAATGGTATAAAATACCGACAGATTGTTAAGTAAGACACATATGCATGTATTGTGTTCAGAAAACTGTCATATTGATAGCTCTCTTCGTTACCCCAGTCAACAGTGATTAAGTGTTTCTCTAAGCCATCGTAATTGCTAAGACGAAAAATCTGGGAATGTTACTGAGTTATCCTACTATCATACTTCCTTCAATTTAATGTAAGTGTTTTGTGGTCGCTTAGCACCAGTTTCCTCTGAAATTCTAAATATTAACAAGGGTTTCATTGGTGGAAAAAAGACACTTTGTACAGTTCAGGACATTTATTAAAGGATACGTTTCGCCACAAGTTGCTTCTTCAGTCCTTAATAGGACTGAAGAAGTAGCCACTCGTTGGCGAAACGTTTCTGTAATAAATGTCCTGAACTTGTAACCATAAGTGTCTTTTTCACCATCTTGTCGGTTTCACCTTACATTTCCTCAAAGGGATCATTGTTTTGCCAGAACTAGGTCAAGCAGGATATTACCCCTTGTAGGTTCTGTCACAATACTGCTTCAAAAAACAATCCTGAAACTATTCTAAGAATCGTTTTATGATTCCAAATTCCCAGTCAAGAAATTCCAATCAATATGACTAAAAGTTAAAGTCTTCCTCAGAATTACTACATTATCGTGCCTTGTGCCCTAACAATTTCCTCCCCTAGTGTTCCCCTGGTCCCTATCTAAATTTGGGGGACGGAATATACACCTAAAATTAATTTTTTCATGCCCCTGAAATTCTATCCAAAACAGATGTATGTGTTTACTTCAGTCTTAATACCCGTTTTTATGAATACAGTTCAGCGATCTTCGGACAGACAATGCCACCCCACCCCCTTCCCGATTACTTCTATTCTACTTTGTACAAATTTAATACCCTGAATGTGACATTCTGCAGGCATGTCCCGACTTTTTGAATTAACACGTCTCAGTATTGGCAAAATACATCTATGTTACCATTGCACTTGCAACTAGGCTCAACTCGTCAATCTGATTCTAGCACTGGGACTATTTGTGTATTAAATATTAATGACCTCCTCTCTTGTACCTTCCTGCCTTTATGTTTTTCCTATAAAACCTAATTATGGTCCTTGTCATATTAGTGCCACTGGCTCTTTTCATTAATCCACCTAATTTTGGCCGATTACTTTGTTCTCCTAGTACTCATGTTACTAACATGCGACTTCACAGTTTTCCCGCCAAAACCCATACACTAACTATCCTTGTTTTAAAGACCTAACAGCTCCCTCCACTGCGTATGGCCAGTGCTCCCACCCCACATCTAGATAATGTGAACCCCATCCCTGGCATACATGTCATTTCGGCCATAGAAGAGGTCCCAGTTGTCAATGAATGTTTACCGCATTTTCCTTACCTTACAGTATTTGTCCAGCCAGAATTGGACCACCAGTTGCTCTGGACAACAATTCATTACCAACTCCTCTCCTTAGCCAAAATGCCCCACATATGAAGGTTTCCACCCTTACCTCCTAATTTTCTCTATTGCTGACCTATACCTGCTAATCAGGTCCACACTCCTTACGTCTGCCAACATCGTTGCCTCAGCCCACTGTGACAGATAATAGGATTGGCTCCCATACTCTCATGATGTCATCAGACCGGCTAACATATCCTTATCCCAGCCCCAGGAAAACACACACTCTGCTCCTACTCCTGCCTTCAGCAGATGCCCTATCAGGTACCTAATCTGGCTATCCCAACAACAACAATGTTTTTACCTTCCTTGGCGTCGTCGTCGTGATGCTCCAAGCAGTCGACTCACATTCGCCAGGTAGCACTACACACTTGTAGAATTCGTCAGACGTTCTCGATGGTCTTCGTTGGGGTTTCTAGGGATGTCTTACTCACGTCTGCCAATGCTTCTTTGGTGCTCGTTGTGGCATTCCCAGCAGAACACTCACATTCGTCAGGTAGCACCGAGAATGAGTTGGAAGTTTCCACGGTAGTCTTCTGGTTTCTCGTTGTTTCTGCCTCTCCAACCGTTTTCTTGATCTTCAGCTTGGTTCCATGTTGCCCGGCCACTGACCAAGCTTCCCTCTTAACCTGGGGACTCACAACAGAAGGATTACTACGAATCCTGTAATAAAGTTGGTAGAATTACCGACAATATGTAAAGTAAAAGGACACAAGTGCAACTAATGTGACATTTATTGTGGCAACGTTTCGCTCTCCAGGCAGCTTTATCCTGGAGAGCGAAACGTTGCCACAATAAATGTCACATTAGTTGCACTTGTGTCCTTTTACTTTACACTACGAATCCTCTTGTTCTCCTCCGTCAATCGCCGTATCTCCATCTTAGCAACTCTGAGCTCTTCTCTCAGCTGCTGGTAAGTTGCTCAAGAGAGGGCATCCTGGTACAGATTCACAGAGAGCACACAAACAGGTCTTCACAGAGCTAAGTACACGTCACCACTTCTGGCCCACTATGTCTTTTCTGAATCTAAACTTATCCAACTTAAATCCATTATTTCTGGTTCTTACCTGGATCGACACCCTCAGTACTTTATTAATATCTCCTTTCTACGTCTCTCCAGAGAGTGGAGAATTATCCCTACTGTCATACTTCCATTGAATGCTAAAGGTAATTGATTTGTGATCGTTTGTGCCGAGTTCCTCTGTAATTTCTAAATTATTAACAAGGGTTTCCTTGTTAATAATTGTTTGTAGGTTCTGTCACAAACTGCTTCAAAAAACAATCCTGAACTAAGAATTCGTTAGATTCTAAATTCCGTCAAGAAATTACAATCAATCTGACTAAAGTTAAAGTCCCCTAGAATTACTACATCATCGTGCGTTGTAGCCTTAACAATTTCCTCCCAAGCAGTTTCCCTTGGTCCCTATCTAAGTTTGGGCGGAAGGTATATCACTCCTAGAATCAATTTTTCATGCCCCTCTAAAAATTCTATCCAGTCAGACCCGATATGTGTTACTTCAGACTTAATATCCGGTTTTATGTAACAGTTCAAGTGATCTCGGACATAGTGCCACTCCACCCCTCTTCCCGATAATTCTATCTACTTGCAACAATTTAAAACCCTTAATGTGACATTCTGCAGGCATGTCCCGACTTTTAGAACTAAACCACTTCTCCGTTATGGCAAATACATCAATGTTTCCTGCTCTAGCAAGTAATCTCAACTCGTCCATCTTATTCCTAGCACTATGGCTATTAGTATATATTTAAAGACCCTCCTTTCTCTTTACCCTTTCTGCTCATTTCTGTTTTTCAATTAAATATATTACTGTCAATTAGTGCACTGGCTTTCAATATCCACCTCATTCTGCCGATTACTAGTTTCCCTGGAACTCATAATATTACTAAACTGGGACTTCACTGTTTTCCTCCCAAAACCCATACCACTAACTATTCCTGGTTTAAATCCCTAATAGCTCCCTCCACCCCAGACCAAGATATGTGAACCCCATCCCTGGCATACATGTCATTTCCACCATAGAAGAGGTCCTAGTTGTCAATGAACGTTACCGTATTTTCTGTCATGTCTCCCCTCATTCTTCGTCTTACAAGTGGATGTGATAAATGGTTTTGAAAACCGACGAGCTGAAGATTGAGACATTTGTGCAACATATGGGAGTCTTTATTAAGGAAACGTTTTTCCACACAGTGGCTTCATCAGTCCAATACAAAGTAGAAATGGGTAAGGAAGAGAAGTTTGGGGTAATCAGTCCCTCAACCTGGAATCGATGTGTTCAGTTCATCACTCTTGAAGAAAGTGCAGCATATGGCCGAAGTTGCTTATGTACTGTAGTCAGGGGAGTCGAAGCAGGACGAGACGGGATCATAGTGGAATCATCCACTGGACAAGTACTGAAGAATTTCTTGTATCACCATCCCACGATGTTGCAGTGTCCAACCTTTGGACAACGACCCACTTAAATTAATGGATGGTTCCACTATGATTCCGCCTCATCTTCAATCTTTCTTCATACGGAAAATTTATACTGCTACGTATTAATTTAGTCATTCTACACTGAGTGTTTTCTGTAATATGGAGACCAGAACTGAGCTGCATAATCTAGATGTATAAAGCTGTATAACCACTGGGCTTCTGTTGCTTACACTTCTTGATATAAATCCCAGTAATCTGTTTGCCGTATTACGCACGCTTAGGCATTGCTGTCTTGGTTCAATTTGCTGCTTACCATAACCCCCAAGTTCTTTTCGCAATCTGTACAGCTAAGTTCTACATTATTAGGGTGTTAGCCGACTGTTGTGGGTCGCATCCCGGGACAAGACTAGCCTAAGCTGTTGGAAATGTTTTTGCAGAAAAAGGGCTTATGTCAAGAATAACAATGTCAACTAAATCTGTATCAGTGAAAAAAGATGTAGCTTCCCCAGTTTCTCAAGAAAATCTGTTAGGAGATCTAACCAGGTGCCATCGGACATCTCTGGAGTAGAAGACTCATGATAATCAACATGAAGAAAAGCCACTAAAGTTACTATGGGGAGTTAAGAAAAAGTCTTGATTTTTTTTAATTATGTATTTATTTAAAATTAAAGTTCACTTCAAATATAATTATTATAAGTAAGATTAACTGAAGAATTAGTCTAAATTGTAATATTATACATGCACATGACCAAAATTCACCCATAAAAATCACTAGCCACGTGATAGAGCAAGTACTGAGCAAATACAGAATCATGATGTGAAGGAGGACGACTATGTCTCTGACGTTGAGATCGACTCACTCGTTGACGTTTCATCTCTGGTGTTTCCTCCTTCACTTCTTGTTTGGGGGGAACACGGTATATTGGATAATCGTAAGCCCAGGGGAACACACTCCAATCCAGAGCTCCGCAGACGGGACAGAAGCGAGTCATAGCAGCTTTGTACAGTGAAATTACGCACGGAGGGCAAAAAGGATGGTTGCAGCAGACTGAGCGGGGTAGCCAGACACGCTCCTCCATCTCACCCAGACACATTCCGCATTTCACCATCTCCTGAGTCTTCTGCACATGAAATGAAAAATAAATTTGATCTCGTTATTGCAAAATTATTAAAAATATCGCATTGTACAACATTTAAGAATGAAAAGGGCACAATAACGCGACTGGAACCAGCAGATTTGTGTACAACATTCAAGTCTCTTATTGCAACGTTTTTCCATCGATACAGGGAGTGAGTTATTTACCTCGCTAGTTTCTTTGGGAGTATTGAGTTGTGGAAGCTGTGAAATGTCCTCTGTTGTACTCAGTGCCTTCTCAGGGAGTGGGTTACCCATCTTGCTAGTTTCTATGGCAGTATTGAGTTGTGGAAGCTGTGGTATGTCGTCTGTTGTACTCAGTGCCTTCTCAGGGAGTGAGTTATCCATCTCTCTAGTTTCTTTGACAATACTTAGTGCAAGCTACCGTTTCTTTCCTGCTGTACGAGCATTGAATGACGATCGTCTCATGAAAGTCGCCTTATATTCTCTCGGCTGCCACCTCACGTGACATAAGCATGTAACAGTGGAGGCCACCTGGCACCATACTAGGCATGTCCTTAAATCCAACTTCACCCACCAGGTCCTTCAGAAATTCATCCCATTAACAGAATATTTGTCCAACCTAACATCAATGCTGCCCAGGAAATTAGCATTACGTACGCTTAGGCACTGCCTAAGCGTACGTAATAAGGCAAATAGATTGTTGGGATTTATATCAAGAAGTGTAAGCAACAGAAGTCCAGAAGTTATAGATGAATGGTTCACAGAATCGACACGTTGATAAATTAGACACATGTTCAACTCTTGGGTATCTTAAATCTCCACTCTCTGGAGAGGCGTAGAATAAGGGGAGATATCATTGAAGTGTATAAGTGGATGACGGGCATAAACAAGGGAGACATTAATAAAGTACTGAGGGTGTCGAACCAGGTAAGAACCAGGAATAATGGATTTAAGTTGGATAAATTTAGATTTAGAAAAGACATAGGTAAGTGTTAGGTAAGACACATATGCAACAGTTAGGTATCTTTATTTCGAAACGTTTCGCCTACACAGGCTTCTTCTTCTATCAACTTTTCTGTACTCGACTGAAGAAGCCTACTGTGTAGGCGAAACGTTTCGAAATAAAGATACCTAACTGTTGCATATGTCTTACCTAACAATCTGTCGGTATTTTATACCATTCTAATGTTCACATAGGTAAGTACTGGTTTTCTACAGAGTTGTAGAGTGCGTGGAACAGTCTTCCCAGTGGGGTGATAGAGGCTAGGACCTTGGGTAGCTTTAAGAAGAGACTGGACAAATATATGAGTGGGAGGGGCTGGGTTTGATTTGTGTCAAGGCTTACGGGAGTTATTTCTTGAGTAGCTTTAGGTAGATGTCGTTTTGATAAGGACCTGCCTCGTATGGGCCAGTAGGCCTTCTGCAGTGTTCCTACATTCTTATGTTCTTATGTTCTTATTAAGGAAACGTTTCGCCACACAGTGGCTTCATCAGTCCATACACAGGAGAAACTTCAAGAACAGGAGGAGAATGAGGTAATCAGTCCCTCAACTATGAGTCGATGCGGTCAGTCCATCAATCTTGAATAGAATACGGCATATGAGCGGAGAAGCAGCTTATAAACCGTATGCAGGAGAGGTGCAGCAGTTGTAGGTGGTGTCACATTTGCCCAATGTGGAAGTAGGTCGTGCCCAAGGGTTAGGCAAGCGAAAAATTCCCAAGTATTAAGATCCCAAGAAGTTGCAGTGTCTGACAGGATTATTGATGAATGGTTCACAGAACCGACACGTTGATAAATTAGACACATGTGCAACTCTTGGGTATGGAAACATAAACACACATGCAATTTAATGTGATCCTTTATTGACAACGTTTCGCCCACACAGTGGGCTTTTTCAAGTCACAAACAGATCTACCTGGGGTGGAAGGTACGGTAGTATTTATAGTCAGGTTCAGAATGTTGAGTTCAGGTGGAGAATGCTGCATCTGATGATCTAGCGGGTGGGGTTATAGAGTCTTGGGTAGCTTGGCAAGGGTATGGAACAAGTTGTTGCAGTGGTTCTATGTTCTTTATGTGGGATAAGCGTATGAAGAAGTTCTTGGCAAGTGGCTATCAGCTATGTTAAAAGAAGCCACCCGGTAAGATCATCCAGATGCAGCATTCTCTACCTGACCTCAACAGTCTTCACATCTCTACTGTTCCTGCCTACTTTCTGTATTCGACTGAAGAAGCCTACTGTGTAGGCGAAACGTTTCGGAATAAAGTTGCCTAACTGTTGCCTTTGTGTCTTACCTACCAACCTGTCGGTATTTTATACCATTTTGATGTTCATTCTGAACCTGACTATAAATAAGAACATAAGAAGAGGAGGAGGAACACTGCAGCAGGCCTGTTGGCCCAAACTCAGGCAGGTTCCTTTAACAATTCATCCCACTAACAAACATTTGACCAACCCAATTTTCAATGCCACCCAAGAAACAAGCTCCGATGTGCAAGTCCCTCTCAATGGCAATATAAACACAAATGCAGTATAATGTGATCCTTTATTGACTACGTTCTGTTTGTGACTTGAAAAAGCCCACTGTGTGGCGAAACTAGTCAATAAAGGATCACATTATACTGCATTTGTGTTTATATTGCCATTGTGTCGGTATTTTATACATATTTCCAAGTCCCCTCAAATCCACCCTTCCCCACTCAGGTACTTATCCAACCAATTTTGAAACTATACCCAAAGTTCCCCCTCGCCTCAATAACCCAACTAGGTAATGTTCCACTCCATCAACTACCCTATTTCCAACCAATACTTTCCCTTGTCCTTCTAATCTAAACTTATCTAATTTAAATCATTACTGCTGGATCCTCTTGGAGTGATATCCTCAAGACCTTGTTAATATCCCCCTTTATTAATACCTAACTTCCACTTAAGAACATTAAGAACATAAGAACATAAGAACGAAGAACACAGCAGAAGGCCTTCTGGCCCATGCGAGGCAGGTCCAATTCCCTACCGGCTTAAGCCAATGCACCCAACCCTAGTCAGGAACAAAAAAAGAAAAAAAAGGGGGGGGGGGGGGGGGGGGGGGGGGGGGGGGGGGGGGGGGGGGGGCCGGGGGGGGTGGGGGGGGGGTGGGTGGGGTTTTATTTCTGTTTCACATTGACTCATGGGAGGAACACGGCAACCGACCCGTTACACAAGCTATCAGGTCTAACTCACACCCACCCACATCTAACTCATGTATTTATCCAACCTATTTTTAAAGCTACACAACGTTCTGGCCTCTATAACGGTACTTGGGAGTTTGTTCCACTCATCCACAACTCATTCCAAACCCATTACTTTCCTATATCCCCTCCTGAATCTGAATTTTTTCCAACTTAAAACCATTGCCTGCGATCCTTCAGGCTAGATATTAATCAGCCACACTATTTTACATCCCCTTTATTTATTCCTGTCTTCCACCTTATAAACCCAATCATATCCGCCCCTAATTCTACGTCTTTCTAGAGAGTGCAGTTTCAAGGGGCCCTTAGTCTATCCTCATAGGACGGTTTCGATACATGGGATCATCTTTGTCATTCTCCTTTGTACATTTTCCAGAGAATTTATATCACATTCAGTAATACGGTGACCAAAACTGTGCAGCATAATCTAAATGAGGCCTAACCAAGGATGTATAGGAGTTGAAAGAACAACCTGAGGACTCCTATTATTAATGCTTCTTTGATATGAAGCCCAAGGATTCTATTAGCTTTATTGCGAACACTTATGCACTGTTGTCTTGGTTTTCAGATTCTGCTAACCAGAACTCTACATCTTTTCCGCAATCCGTAATATTAAGATCTACATTATTTTAGTTTTATATGTGGCATGGTTATGTCCTTCCCAACATTTAGAACTTTGGCATTTGTCTATATATAAACTGCTCTGCCACTTCTCCGACAATTGCATCATCCTATTCAAATCTTCCTTGAGTGCTCGAATTTCCCGTCAAAATGAGATCGACGCCTATTTTGGTGTCATCGGCAAACATGCCGATGTCGCTCTTTAATGCCCTCATCTATTGCGTTTATGTAGTTGTGAACAGCAGGGGCCCAACACTGACCCCTGTGGAACAACCGCTCCGTGACGCTGCACCCCCACTCTGATTTCCTCCACATTTATGAAATCTTGCTCCTATTTGTCAACCATGCCTCCTACCAGAAACAATTTCTCCTCCTATTCATGTGCTTTAATTTTCCTCAATAGTCTCTGATGTGGACCCTGGTCAAAAGCCTTACTGAAGTCCATATACACAATTTCATATTCGTTACCCATGATCTTACCTCCTCAAATACTTAGATGAAAAAAGTTAATAAATTCCGTAAGGCAGGAACGTCCTTTGTAAAACCATGCTGAGATTCGTTGATTAATTTATCTTTTCAAGGTGGCAACGAACTGCCTCGGCAATTATTGATTCCATAATTTTTTCCCCCACTATGGAGTTAGGCTTATTGGTCTAAGTTCAAGCTAAGGAACTGTCTCCTGTTTTTGAAAATAGGATCACATTTGCCATATTCACACTTATTCTGGCACCATGCCAGTTTGTAGTGATATGTTGAAAAGATTAGCCAAAGTGTGGCTAAGCTCCTCTTTACATTCCTTTAGAACCCTTGTCAACAGTTCATCAGGGCCTGGGGATTTGTAGGTTTTAATTTATCTATTTGCCTAAGGACCATGCCACTTGTGACCCCTAAAGTGCACAGTTTATATCGCCTGTTTCTACATAATTTATCATTACTTACTGATTATCCACTGGTATCCTCCTGTGTAAAACTGGAGGAAGTATGTGTTAAAAATCTACACATTTCCTTATCAACTGTCAGTGAGCTGACCCGAGGAACTTTTTGAGTGGCCTATCCCTTGTCCCTGATCTTACTTCTGTATACCTGAAAGAATCCTTTTGGTTAGTCTTCGATTCTCTGCAACTTAAAACCTCATAATCTCATTTTGCTTTTCTAATTCCCTTTTTTATCTCTCATCTTTAACTGAATTATATCGATCTTCTTAATTGCCCCTCTACTCTTTTGATTTGCCTATATATGCCTCTCTTTGGACCAATCAGATATTTTAATCTATTGTTCATCCATTTAGGATCACTTTTGTTTGATCTGATTTCCCTATTTGGACATATTTGACTGATCGCTAGAACTATGCCCTGAAAGCATCATATCGGCAACCATCACCACCTACCTGACCCCTAGTCAGGTCATTCCAGTTCAGCCAACCTAAGTAATTTTTTCAGTCCTTATAAAATCAGCCAAGCGAAATGTCAGGGACGGAGACTGATTGGCCATTATTAGGGAATTCCATGAATATTTAAAACAGAGTGATTTGTGATCACTTTCTCACCCAAGCTCATCATTAACCTCAAGATTATTAATAGTGTTTTCCGCTACTGGCAAGAACCAAGTCAAGGAGTTATTTCCCCTATGGCTCTGTCACAAACTGTTTTTAAAAACAATCCTGGATCGTATCAAACAGTCACCCCACTCTAAAAAAAAAAAAAATTTTCCTGTCAAATTGCTCCAGTCAATCTGTCT